GATTAAACGGTTTGGGTCGGGACTTCTGTCACACTCTGTGATGGCGAGGAACGATGGAGACGAAGAATAAACAAAACAGTCTTTAATCCAAGAAACACAGGGTACATCCAAGAGAGCCTTGGCCGTGCCGCGCCCAAGTTCTCTGGTATTGTTCACCTGTTAGCTCTTGACCCCTGGGTGTCGAAGTTACGGGTATACTCTGGAACAATTAACCAGGCCGGGTGTGACCTAGAAAGCTCAGCCCGCTTTAGCCTTGGGTTATTGTTGACTTCTCTATAAGCATTGGTTGCTTATGGAAGTTATACCTTTAGGCGTTCCACTACATTAGCACGGCGTAATTGGATGTAGCTGCCCGACTCAGTCGTCGCTTCAGTCAAAGTAAACCTGAGAATCCTGTGGCGAGCGCCCGCTTATATAGCCAGATGCCCCTCCCCATTCTGGTGGGCTTTGGCGGGCTTCATCGCCATAGGCTCGTGCAGCTCCGCTGGCACGCCATTGGTTTGTTTTTAAAGGCCTGCACGAACCAATGGCCGTGCAGTTTCACTGCGTGAATGAAATTGGCTTCAGTTCAGGAGAAAAAAGGCTTTTTTCCCCCATATGCATCTAGCAAGATGCAGTACTCGTTCCCGTATCTCAGGGAACTGAGGTTACGTTAGTAACCGAGTACGTTTATTCAACCAACATTTGTGATGCTCCATGATTAGGCTTGATTAATTGGGGTTTGAATATTCTGATATCATTGATTTGAGAGCACTGAAACCATCAGATGAGAACAAAACTTGAATTGATTAATGATTAATGTCTTCTGCTTTACAGTTGAAACAAAGTTGAACTGAACTGCATCAACACTGAACTGAATTGGTCTGAATAATGGCACTGTTGTCTTCTGTAGAGGTGCTTTACAGCAGAATCTGAATTAGTCTCATATCTGATGAAGTTTGTATCATTAATTATTTTCCTGTTTATTACTGTGAAACTGCTTTGAAACAATAAAAATAAAGGTGAAAAAAGACCCAAAAATGGCTGCTGTGGTTAAACCATGTATTATAAACAAAGGTGGTTTTGCAATTCCAATACATACAGGTAAGACATAAAAGTAGAGTTAAATAAAGAGGAAAATTGAAATGGTCAAGCAACTTTCACTGGACAACTTGAGATGGATTTACTCTCTTAGTGTATTGTGTGTCTGATCATTGTGGTTTTTCACTGAATCACACACATCTTTCTGAATGCATGTATAACATCCCTAAAATGATGGACTTCTCTGCTCTCAGCCTCCTCTGTGGCATTCGCTCCCTCCTCACTCATCAATTTTAGGCCTTTCCCAGAAGGTGCAGATTTATATCAGAAAAAGATCGCTGAGCTTCCCATCGTGACTCCTCAGCTAAACGACAGCATATTTTCTTCCATTCTGTTTTATGGAGCCATTTGTGCTGCTGTTTGTACCGCTTCACTTTCTCATCCAGTTTCTGTTTCTGAATCTTCTGAATGTATTTCTCCGTTCTCTCAAACAAGTCATTAGTGAAGTGTGTCCCTCCATTTTCTGCCACCATCGTCTCTATTTCAATAATCAGTTCTTTGAATTGTGGGAAACTGGCAGTCTTATTGTCCAGACAGAAGAATCGATTTCCACAACTCTCTACAAGTTTTCTAAGATCTGGATCACCATCCTGCACATACTGATTAATGGTTTTATTTTCCTCCAACTGATCTTTGTGGGTGAAGAGGATCATGGTGTATTTTAGTATTTGTTCTCCAAACACTTCTTTGAGATGTTGCACAGTATTTTTCTCCTCCTCAATGAATCGACCCACTCTAATGATGATAATAAAAGCATGTTGTCCAGGAGAGAATAACAATACACATTTTACTATTTCTCTTTGAACCTGTTCTTTACTGAGTTCAGTATCATAAAATCCAGGAGTGTCGATCACTGTAATCTCTTTACCAAACCTCACTCTAGTTTCTGACTGACACAGTTTGGTCTGAGATTTTGAACCTGCTGAAAATGTAAACATGTTTCTGCCGATGATGGTGTTTCCAGTGGCACTTTTCCCACATCCAGTTTTTCCCAGCAGAACCAGCCTGATCTGGTCTTTTTTCTCAGGAATCACATCAATATCATCTGGATCTATTGCTGAAGACTCTCCTGAAACTACAGATCAAATCAAGTCAGTGATAAAACACAATTCAGGGATTCTTCCCACATGACAAGTGCAACGAACAAGTGATGTACACTTAGTGAAAAAAATCATCATATGTTTATATTATTGAAGTCATTAATAATAATAAAACACAACTTACTTTTACTGTCACTCCTCCTCATTCGTTCCATGATAAATTTCCCTCCATTCTTCTTCATCATTGTTTCAATCTTCTGCAGTAGTTTTTCTATCTGATCGTCTGATTCACTCTTATTATTGAAACAGTGAAACCTTCCTCCACATTCAATCACCAGTTGCCGGAGATCCACATGCTTTTCATGTTGTAGATATTCATCAATGGTCTGTGGTTTATCCAGCTTTTTTAGTTCATCTGCATGTGTGAACAGTATCATCATGTATTTCTGAACTTCAATACCAAGTAAGTCTTTAATATAATCCAGGATCTCTTCCTCATTTTGCACAGGTTGCTCTAGAGGAGCGGTGAGCAGAACTGCACTGATACCTGCTGAACATCGAGAGACCAGCTTCTCTTTCATCATCTTCAGCTTCTCTTTATTCAGGTCTGGATGCCGTAGATCTGGAGAATGAATCACATACACCTGCTTCCCATCAATCTGTGTTTTAACCTCACACACTTCAGTCTCATGTTTCTTAACTTTAAACATAATTTCTCCCAGTATGGTGTTTCCTGATGAGCTTTGCCCAGAACCATATCTGCCCATCAGAAGAATCCGGATCTCTGGATCATCTGGACTGGAGCTGATCGCTGACATCTCTGAAATTAAAGTATGAAATAAGATAAAAATCAGGTCAGGTCAATGAAGGCCATGCATAAGTAAACAACAAAATACAGACACTAAAAAGTAAGAGGTTATTTATTTTGTTCTTTTCAACCTAAACACTGGGGTTAGCCTGCTGGGTCATTTTACTGGGTATTTTATTTATTTGTTTATTTTTAATAAAAAAAAAAAATGTTGGCAAGTTTTTGTGTAACGCATCTGCTGGATAAATTTTACAGACAGTACTAATGTCTTCTTGTAATATTAGTTATTTTTTGTCTGTACATGTGTAGGGTATCAGAGCGAATCAGACACTTTAAGATTTGATCAGATTGGTGTTGAACAACCCAAAGAGCCAAATGCCACAAAGGGGCCCAGGATGAGACAACAGGACGTTCGTAAATCAGACCCTGGTGCCACGAGTCTGAAGCAAGCCTAACCAACCAACTCTTTCACAGATCATGTCCTTATGTTCACAGAATGGCACAGAAACGGTCTTTTACAGATATAGATGCACCAAAATGAACTCAAAAAGGCTTATAAACTAATATCAGTCCATTGCTTAACTCCATGTCATGTATGTAACCCACACATTCGACGATCATGTTCTAATCACTTATTGTGTATGTCTTTTTAATAACTATTGAATAGCTTAAGAGTTCATATTCATGTTTAGTATGTGTGTGTTTGAATCTTCTAGCTTGAAACGTTTCTTCCAATCAATTATTTGTCAAATGTATCATATTTTTGTTATAGAAATCATGTCCAAAATTATACTCTGCAAGAGCGGGAAAACTCGGACCATGTGACTGATGAGATGACATGGTGATTTATGTATTGGGAGGAGAAATATACAACACACCGAGCAAAGACAATATCTAATTGGTCAAGTCACCATTTGGGATGTGTCCAAAAACCCAGTTTAAATACTCAGGACACCATCAAATCATTGCTTTTTAGCGTCTAGCTTCTTAACCTTAGCTTCTAGCCACTGCTTCAAGACATCACTTTTAGCCATGCAGCTTTTTAGTCATAGCTTTGAGCTATGCTTTTTAGCCACTGCTTTTTAGCTTTTAGCTTTTTAGCTTCCCACCATGAGGACACTCGGAGATGTTCGATCAGAGCCGTGCTTTCCTTCTTGCAGCAAGGGTTGGAGCGTAGGCTGTCCCCCTCCACCCTTAAGGTTTTCGTTGCTGCTATTTCGGCCCATCACGACCCCATAGAGGCGAGGTCAGTGGGGAAGCATGATCTCTTCGTCAGGTTTCTTAGGGGGCCAGGAAGTTAAATCCTCCTAGGCCTCCCTCCCGGCCCTCTTGGGATTTGGCATTGGTGCTAAGAACCCTACAAGCTGCCCCCTTCGAGCCTTTGCAGTCAGTCGAGTTGAAGTTTCTTTCTATGAAGACCCTACACTTGACTGCATTCGCCTCGATCAAGAGGGTGGGGGACCTGCAGGCATTTTCAGTCGACGAATAATGCCTTGAGTTTGGGCTGGCTGAATGTGCAACACTGAGACCCCAGCCCGGCTACGTGCCCAAGGTTACTTCCACTCCCTTCAGGGACCAGGTGGTAAACCTGCAAGCGCTGCCCCTGGAGGAGGCAGACCCAGCCCTAGCTTTGCCAGACGTGGCTGATCTGGTGTGAGGCTAGTGCCCATATGAGTGACCCGGCTGGGATCTCATATGTGTATTTCCACAGTACACCTACTAAGGCCGTGTTTACCCTGGCAGACCACATTCTGCTGTCTCTAAATGATGCCGCCATGAGCCATCTCAGAGACTTCCATGTGCAGTAGGGCCCCTCGGGGTTACTCCACGTGAGTAAATGTCACTTAACCCCCTTTGGGAGGAGGTGACTCTGCAGTGCGTCCTCTTCCAAATGGAAGGGCACGCTTTCCCAGTGTTATCCAAGTCCTACTGTTGGGTTGTGAGGAACAACTGTAGTTGACCTTCTCTGTGGTCCTATCATCTGCCTTATAGGAATGATCAGGAGGCCTACACAGGGCACTGGAGGTGGCAGAACCTGTGGCGTGTTGGTAGGGATCCCAATTTGTCGGTCATCACCGACTTGACGTCGAGAGTGACCGACTGAAAGGGAACATCTCGGTTACATATGTAACCCTCATTCCCTGAAGGAGGGAATGGAGACGTCATGTCCCCAGGAGTGTCGATCACTGTAATCTCTTTACCAAACCTCACTCTAGTTTCTGACTGACACAGTTTGGTCTGAGATTTTGAACCTGCTGAAAATGTAAACATGTTTCTGCCGATGATGGTGTTTCCAGTGGCACTTTTCCCACATCCAGTTTTTCCCAGCAGAACCAGCCTGATCTGGTCTTTTTTCTCAGGAATCACATCAATATCATCTGGATCTATTGCTGAAGACTCTCCTGAAACTACAGATCAAATCAAGTCAGTGATAAAACACAATTCAGGGATTCTTCCCACATGACAAGTGCAACGAACAAGTGATGTACACTTAGTGAAAAAAATCATCATATGTTTATATTATTGAAGTCATTAATAATAATAAAACACAACTTACTTTTACTGTCACTCCTCCTCATTCGTTCCATGATAAATTTCCCTCCATTCTTCTTCATCATTGTTTCAATCTTCTGCAGTAGTTTTTCTATCTGATCGTCTGATTCACTCTTATTATTGAAACAGTGAAACCTTCCTCCACATTCAATCACCAGTTGCCGGAGATCCACATGCTTTTCATGTTGTAGATATTCATCAATGGTCTGTGGTTTATCCAGCTTTTTTAGTTCATCTGCATGTGTGAACAGTATCATCATGTATTTCTGAACTTCAATACCAAGTAAGTCTTTAATATAATCCAGGATCTCTTCCTCATTTTGCACAGGTTGCTCTAGAGGAGCGGTGAGCAGAACTGCACTGATACCTGCTGAACATCGAGAGACCAGCTTCTCTTTCATCATCTTCAGCTTCTCTTTATTCAGGTCTGGATGCCGTAGATCTGGAGAATGAATCACATACACCTGCTTCCCATCAATCTGTGTTTTAAACTCACAAACTTCAGTCTCATGTTTCTTAACTTTAAACATAATTTCTCCCAGTATGGTGTTTCCTGATGAGCTTTGCCCAGAACCATATCTGCCCATCAGAAGAATCCGGATCTCTGGATCATCTGGACTGGAGCTGATCGCTGACATCTCTGAAATTAAAGTATGAAATAAGATAAAAATCAGGTCAGGTCAATGAAGGCCATGCATAAGTAAACAACAAAATACAGACACTAAAAAGTAAGAGGTTATTTATTTTGTTCTTTTCAACCTAAACACTGGGGTTAGCCTGCTGGGTCATTTTACTGGGTATTTTATTTATTTGTTTATTTTTAATAAAAAAAAAAAATGTTGGCAAGTTTTTGTGTAACGCATCTGCTGGATAAATTTTACAGACAGTACTAATGTCTTCTTGTAATATTAGTTATTTTTTGTCTGTACATGTGTAGGGTATCAGAGCGAATCAGACACTTTAAGATTTGATCAGATTGGTGTTGAACAACCCAAAGAGCCAAATGCCACAAAGGGGCCCAGGATGAGACAACAGGACGTTCGTAAATCAGACCCTGGTGCCACGAGTCTGAAGCAAGCCTAACCAACCAACTCTTTCACAGATCATGTCCTTATGTTCACAGAATGGCACAGAAACGGTCTTTTACAGATATAGATGCACCAAAATGAACTCAAAAAGGCTTATAAACTAATATCAGTCCATTGCTTAACTCCATGTCATGTATGTAACCCACACATTCGACGATCATGTTCTAATCACTTATTGTGTATGTCTTTTTAATAACTATTGAATAGCTTAAGAGTTCATATTCATGTTTAGTATGTGTGTGTTTGAATCTTCTAGCTTGAAACGTTTCTTCCAATCAATTATTTGTCAAATGTATCATATTTTTGTTATAGAAATCATGTCCAAAATTATACTCTGCAAGAGCGGGAAAACTCGGACCATGTGACTGATGAGATGACATGGTGATTTATGTATTGGGAGGAGAAATATACAACACACCGAGCAAAGACAATATCTAATTGGTCAAGTCACCATTTGGGATGTGTCCAAAAACCCAGTTTAAATACTCAGGACACCATCAAATCATTGCTTTTTAGCGTCTAGCTTCTTAACCTTAGCTTCTAGCCACTGCTTCAAGACATCACTTTTAGCCATGCAGCTTTTTAGTCATAGCTTTGAGCTATGCTTTTTAGCCACTGCTTTTTAGCTTTTAGCTTTTTAGCTTCCCACCATGAGGACACTCGGAGATGTTCGATCAGAGCCGTGCTTTCCTTCTTGCAGCAAGGGTTGGAGCGTAGGCTGTCCCCCTCCACCCTTAAGGTTTTCGTTGCTGCTATTTCGGCCCATCACGACCCCATAGAGGCGAGGTCAGTGGGGAAGCATGATCTCTTCGTCAGGTTTCTTAGGGGGCCAGGAAGTTAAATCCTCCTAGGCCTCCCTCCCGGCCCTCTTGGGATTTGGCATTGGTGCTAAGAACCCTACAAGCTGCCCCCTTCGAGCCTTTGCAGTCAGTCGAGTTGAAGTTTCTTTCTATGAAGACCCTACACTTGACTGCATTCGCCTCGATCAAGAGGGTGGGGGACCTGCAGGCATTTTCAGTCGACGAATAATGCCTTGAGTTTGGGCTGGCTGAATGTGCAACACTGAGACCCCAGCCCGGCTACGTGCCCAAGGTTACTTCCACTCCCTTCAGGGACCAGGTGGTAAACCTGCAAGCGCTGCCCCTGGAGGAGGCAGACCCAGCCCTAGCTTTGCCAGACGTGGCTGATCTGGTGTGAGGCTAGTGCCCATATGAGTGACCCGGCTGGGATCTCATATGTGTATTTCCACAGTACACCTACTAAGGCCGTGTTTACCCTGGCAGACCACATTCTGCTGTCTCTAAATGATGCCGCCATGAGCCATCTCAGAGACTTCCATGTGCAGTAGGGCCCCTCGGGGTTACTCCACGTGAGTAAATGTCACTTAACCCCCTTTGGGAGGAGGTGACTCTGCAGTGCGTCCTCTTCCAAATGGAAGGGCACGCTTTCCCAGTGTTATCCAAGTCCTACTGTTGGGTTGTGAGGAACAACTGTAGTTGACCTTCTCTGTGGTCCTATCATCTGCCTTATAGGAATGATCAGGAGGCCTACACAGGGCACTGGAGGTGGCAGAACCTGTGGCGTGTTGGTAGGGATCCCAATTTGTCGGTCATCACCGACTTGACGTCGAGAGTGACCGACTGAAAGGGAACATCTCGGTTACATATGTAACCCTCATTCCCTGAAGGAGGGAATGGAGACGTCATGTCCCGTGGCCACAGTTGCTGTACCACCACTGAGCTGCCGGGTCACTGGCTCGGCTCCTCAGCGAAAGCATAAATGAATGCGGTGCACCTGCTGCCTCTTATACCCACGCTGCGGGGTGTGGCAGCCAGATGCGAAATCCGCATGCCAATGTCCATTGGCTCGTTTAGTTACTCTCAAAGTGGATTGGTCTCTCTGGCGAGATCTCAATTCGTCGGTCATCACCGACGTGACGTCTCTGTTCCCTCCTTCAGGGAACGAGGGTTACATACTCAACTAGGTTAATAAAGACAAATCCACAGTAGCGTATTTACAGATGAAACGTCTCGGTTACATATTAAACTGCTAGCACCTGTTAGGCTATCAGGAACACCCCATTATTGGGGCCCCACAAACCCCAGCTACGGCCCGGACCCCAAGTCCAAGTCAAGCCATTTTTTTTTATTTTGTCAAGCAAGTTACAAGTCCTTAAATTTGCAACTTGAGTCAAGCAAAGTCGGAAATTAACAAGGCCTTGTGGCAAAAATGCCACCAAAATGAACAAAAATGCCCCATAAATGCAAGACAAAGTGGCAAAAAAGCCCTGGCACAATAATAATATGCTCTCTGATATTTATAAAAAAAAAAAAAAGTGATTGTGCATGCAGTCAGTTAACATTCTTTGATCAAACAAAGAATATGTGTTGGAGTCATGTATCACCCAACCCCTCCACTGTGGTCTTTTTCCTGTAAGTCATGTGATTTGCTGGAAAGAGGAAGCAGACCTCTGACGTCTAAATAACACACAGATCTTTTCTGATTGGCTGGCATGCATCTTGCGTGACATGAGTACACTTATGTAAGCCCATGCAGTGGCAAAAGACTCCAGCAAGATAATTCAAGAACACAAGACACAGCTCATATAATATCCAGAAGAAAACTCAGTTTGCTGTTTGGAATCCAGATTTCCTCAGGATTGACTTTTTATTTGTTATTTCACTCTTCTGATTTGTGGGATGTTCTGGGTATGCTCGTTCTATTGGAACATTTCCAGAACAGAGCTTAGAAAGTCCTGGTTAGTCAGAATGTATGTTTTATGTCTCACACAGATTAAAGGTGAATCAGGGATTTTGTAAAATTATCAAAGTGAAAACACTTAACTTGGTTTAATGCATTGACAAAACTTTTACTGTGATGTAGACTATTTTCAATTCAGTTCAAGTTTATTTGTATAGCGCTTTTCACGATTCAAATCGTTGCAAAGCAACTTTACAGAAAATTATGTTTCTACAATATATTTAGTAGTAGCTTATCAGTGGTGACTGTGTCAGTTAATGTACATATGGCAGAAATATACGGCAAAGTCAATTAAAGACGTAATCAAACAGACGATGAACACTATTAACAGCAATTACACCTAGCAGTGCATTACTATTAGCAGCAGTCCAGTCTAGAGGTCATGAATGCATTAAACTAGCTTTTCTGCATTAGAAACAGGTAACATGTTTCGTAGCTTGGCAATGATTCTAAGATGGAAGAATGCTGTTTTTGTAACATGGTAAGTATGATTTTCAAAAGACAAGTTGCTATCTAATATAACACCCAGATTTTTGACTGTAGAGGAAGTAACAGTGCATTCGTCTAGTTGCAATTTGTAATCCAAGAGACTCTGTGTACTGTTTTTTGGTCCAATAAGTAATATCTCTGTCTTATCCCAATTTAACAGGAGAAAAATATTGGTCATCCAATCTTTTACATTTTTAACACATTCTGTTAGCTTAGATAATTTAGAAGTTTCATCTGGTCTTGTTGCGTTATATAGTTGAGTATCATCAGCATAACAGTGGAAATTAATCCTATATTTTCTAATAATATTACCAAGGGGTACTTTACTGGTGATAATTGAGATGACTCCCCATTTAAAGGAACAAAGTGGTAGCGATCGAAAAGGTATGATCTAAACCATCTTAAAGCCTGCCCTTGAATACCTGTATAGTTTTGTAATCGATCTATGAGTATGTCATGATCTATAGTATCGAACGCAGCACTAAGATCAAGTAAAACTAGCAATGAGACACACCCTTGGTCTGACGCAAGAAGCAAGTCATTTGTAATTTTAACAAGTGCAGTTTCTGTGCTATGGTGGGGCCTGAAACCTGACTAAAATTCTTCATAGAGACCTTTTTTGCTAGAATGAGCACAATTGAGCAGACACAACTTTTTCTCAAATGTTTGACATAAACGGAAGATTTGAAATGGGTCTGTAATTTGCCAGTTCACTAGGATCTAGTTGTGGTTTCTTAATAAGAGGCTTAATAACCACCAGCTTGAATGGTTTTGGCACGTGACTCAAAGATAAAGACGAGTTCATAATATTGAGAAGCGGTTCTTCTGGTACATGTAACAACTCTTTCAGTAATTTAGTGGGTACAGGATCTAATAAACATGTTGTTGGTTTAGATGCAGTGATAAGTTTATTTAGCTCTTCCTGTCCTATAGTTGTAAAGCACTGCAGAATATTTAGATCGGGTGGCGTCTGGTTATTTGTTAATCTAGCCACTGTGCTAAATAAAAACCTTGGATTGTTTTGGTTATATTCTATGAGTTCCTATGAGTTTAGATAGCCTGCACCTGCGGTTGCAAACCACAAAAAAAAAAAATAATAATAATATAAAATAAATAAATAAGACAGCAGGGAATGGAAACCGTGGGTTATGACTTTTGATATAAATATATGATTTGCAAACAAATATTTTAATAAGTTGAATGTTTTAAATAAGTCAAACAGGTTCACAAGAAGTGTGAACGATTCTCACAAATCATGAACCTGATTCTAACTGAACAATCTGCAGTAGATTTTCATTGGATGTAAAGAGTATAGGCTAATC